ATTTCGCATCCAGCACGTAAAATGTGATTGTACCATTGCGGTAAAACAAGAGATGAAAGGACTAAAAATTTGAAGGCCTCTAGAAAAATTTAAAATTCTTCATTAATGCGGTACTCCGTCGGGTGTCAAAATATCCGCCACAGAAAGTATTGTTCAGTGCCATTTTAGCACTCCACGACGGAATATAATGGGCGTAACAGCCCCTATATATTTTGGTAGACCATTCCCATAACCTTTTCCTCACCGTTCGGAACTAAAAATTTACTTACATCCTGAGCTCGACAATAGCTCGTTATTTATATAGCTGAGCGATTATGGCCCGATTTGAGCGCTATCTTGCTTCAGTTATGGGAACTTATTTTGTTCCAGTAATTGCCAGATGGCTTGCTCGTTGCCCCTTCTTGACGTTATGCTAGCGTCATAATATTTCGCAGCTGTGTTAGAAATGCTGTAAATGAACGTCTTGCTTGTATTTCTCTAACGCTCATGTGTCACGTGGGAAGATCCCCCCACTATAGGCAACCCTTCTTAAATCGTTCAAGAGTCTATGAATTTCTGAATGGGTATCCCATGCTCAATCGGGACGTTAATTTTCTGGATTAGTTGCATTTGCATTTGTAGTTTCAGCCCTCAAGCATGCCATGCAGCCATTGATACCTTCGGTGTAACGAAAGCATTGCAAAAAAGTATTTTTCCTTTGAAAGTTATTGCTCTTATTTCTTTTAATCAGTACATACTCAAATTTTGGCACCAAAAGGGCAGTCAGGAGATTTCAGCGGACTTGGAAATGTCAAAGACCACGCTCCTCCTGTTTCCTCGTATTCTTCTCCACTCTCCATTGAAAGCTACAGGGTGGGCCAAAAAACCCGGACTCTTTCCAACGATACGATTTCCAACGAAATCCAGGAAATTACAGGCCGGTAAGTCTCACGAGTATCCCAGGGAAGATCAATACGGTGCTGCCATCTCGTTCATGCATAAACAGAGTACCCGCGTATTTTAAGCTCAAACGCATGTTTCTTTCTGCACCCGGTCCCCAGAAAAAAATTAGGAGACCTAAGAACTTGAACGCACCTCGTATGTTGGGAAAAGCTGACTGTTTTAATATTTAATTTGTCCACAGCTTGAAGTCGGCCTGCTAAGCCTGGTTCAGACGCCTAATGGTGGTCATCTCATTGATGGATTACTTCTTGTTTTTATTGATACATAGTATTAATAGAAGAGGGCAACGTGTAAGTGTAAGTAACGCTTGGCAAGGAAAGGAGAGGACGTTGCGTGTGATTTCACCATCGAGGCAGTCCTGGGTGTTCCATTTAGAAATGTGGAACCAAGGACCTCTTTTTCACTTGTAAGTACCTAAACCCTGTACCATGTACCCTGTATCTAAACCAAATTTAAATCTAATTTTTAAATAAATAAAAATTCTGAACTGGTCCTTGGATATGTGGTCGGGAACTGAATTATGTCGGCGCTGCCTATCTGGCTGACCCGAGCTTATGACGATTCCCCCCCCCCCTCCCCCCAAATCTTGGGTTTTGAGGGACAAGTTTTTCCCAATTAGTCTCACGTTGCATCCAACGATGGGTTGCTTAGCCTTAGCCTTAGCTTGAAAGGTTTCAGATAGGCGTTCAGATGATTTGGGCTCATCAATGTTAGATCGAATTGCGTAAGCATAGGTCTAACTCTTTTTTAAAAAATTTCCCACCTGCATCCATGGGAATTGAACGGCAGGCAGATGGAAGGGGGATAGGCGAAACCAGGTGGATGTCCCACTCGGTGGAAATCTACCCTAACATCTCTCTATGTGCAGTTGGAACCAAGCGGACAGCCCTCCAGCAGGTTGGTTCCTGCCTAGAGGACGCCCACATGGTTCCAAATCCATCTAAGGAATGGATGTTTTGTCGGGGAAATTAGCAGTACTGGGAAATGTCGCGAATTTTGGACTTATCTTCCTTTATCGATTCGAAGATGTTTGTGTCAGGCCTGGATTCGGAAAATCCAAGTATTCCTTGCCAGGAACGGGGAGATATGCTATAATGATTTGAAATCGTCCTTGAGAAGTTTCTCATTTTGCCAGCCCACTTTGAGCTATTCCGATGCACACCACTGGATTCTGGTTCTCTCAAAAAGATCGTAATTGAAGACAGCTATTGTGAAAACGAGAAATGCAATGGCAATGGCATTGTGTTTTTTCCCGCCTATACCAGAATGTCTCAATAGATAATAATAATTATTATTATTATTATCCTTTCGGATGATCTGTTGAGAGATCCCTTACCTGGCGCAGAGATCAGCACATTGAATCTCAGAAGGGATCTGACTATTTTTTCCAAAAGAGACAACGTTTAAGATGCCACTCTGGAACCTTCCATTCGTTCCATCCACCAGAAGAAACATTTTTCCCGTGTCACCGGCAGAGATCTTCAGATGAGTGGAAAACGTGAGAAACAGGGCCATTCCCCAGGTCATCTTTCTAGAGAAAAAAGATCGAGTTCTCCAGCGAAATTCTGTCTATATGGTGAATTTTGCATTGTGAAAAAGATGCAGCCAAGAAAAGGAAACGAAAAGAATATTCTCTTTCCTAAATACATTGCAATTTTTGTATTTAGAAGATGTGAAGTTATAGTTTACCGTCGAGTAGCCATGGCAATCAAGGAGAATATTATTTCCAGACACCTATTTCTATTGAAAGTTCTTGCCGTACTGACGAGACACACGCATCCACCTTCCAGTGCGAATAACACTGTTCCCGCTCATGGGCGTGGCATTCTACAAGAAACCAAGACGACAACCAATGAAGACTTAGTTTCCGGCTGACTCCAAGGTCCAACCCCAAGCAGGAAAGGATCTTCGATCTATGCTACATTGGGAGTGGAAATTTGCTTTTTGCTCAGCGTAAGAAACAGAGAAAATAAAAATGAGAAAAGCAAAAATGACTTTTACTTGCAATACAGCACCTCAATCTTTTCGATCATAAGAGGTGGCTAAATGCGTACTTGGTCTATGTATTAGGGCTAAAGGAATCGGAGAGCTTAAAAATGATGGAAACGTATCCCATTGTGTATCAACATTGCGCGTGGAGGACTAGGTCGACACAATTTAATCTGCGAACAATATACTCTATACGGGCGCTCAAGTACTGGTTCCGTTTAATCTCCATGCCAGACACCAGACTTGCAAAAAAGGCGTACATATGGCAACTAGGGTGATGTGAACGAGACATCACTTGCTGGACCGGAAACATACGGAGATTATTGTGTTCGTATGGCTTTGGTGAAGCGTGGTATGCCCAGGCAATTCCATGCACCCGTGGCTTTTTCAGCATACGAGCTCGTATTTAGACAACGGGCACGCGACATTGATTCTCAGGAATGGGGCGAAGAGCTACACTCCTATGATAGATTCCGCTCCTTCAGGATTTTTAGAACCACTAAAAACAAAGAAAAGTATCTGGAGACATTGTCACCCAACGCTACTTTCAACTATAGCCATTTTCGCGGAGGGATGTTTGGACTGAGAGAACGACTAGGTAGATATGAAGATATAGATTACCGTGACAGATTGTGCCCACTATGCAACCACGGAGAGATAGAAGACGAATTTCACTTCCTGCTGGTCTGCTCTGTATACTCTTCACACAAACTCTCTAATACCACGGTATTACCGCGATCATACCAAGAAACAGAAATTTTCAATTTTAATGCAATCATCACATATTAATACAATCAAATATATGGTGAAATTCATTAAACTGGCTCGCGATCTCAGAACAGGAATTATGGGAACCTAAAAATGCTTAAAGAAAAGTGAAATATTTGTGCAATAATGTCTACGACAATGAACACAATAAACTCATTGTCATTGTCACTTTCATTTTCCTCACTGCATATATGTTAATGCAGTTTGCGGAATTTGAAAGAGGAATGACTAAGATTGAAAATGGTGTACAGTACTTACGTTTCAAATATCTTCAGCAGTTTTTGACATTCGGGAGCTCATACGTATGAACAAGAAACAAAAGCTGCGTTGCCGCGCACTTGGACGCAGACGGCATGCGACTTTCAGTCACCTCCTGTCCATTCCCACTGCTAAAAAACCCGTAATTTTTGTATATGCAGTGGGTGCAATATAGGGGAACGTTGAAAACTGTCCGGTTTTCTTGCCCACCCTGTATATCTTCGTGAACTTCTGAAATCATTCGATAAATCATTATTATTCCTCGTTCCATGATAGTTTCTCTTTTCCGGTTCATTTAAAACAAATACTGGTACGGTTTAAGGACTGCTCTGATGGCATTACTGTGAATCATGTGAATGTGTGCCACAGGATATTTCCGTTTGGATTCTTATTGTTTCAGTCCGATTGTTGCAACGGTGAGTGATGAGGCTTACCGGTACATTAGGTTTTTCACAAAAAAAACCAACGAAGCAGCGCCATCGCGACCAAAGCCGAGCGAGAGAACATGCCACGAAACAGCTAGCCCACTTGAACCTAAAAATTATTCCCCAACATAATATATCTCGTATGTATTTCGAAACGTTCATATTTGAGTACAGAAATTTATTTTCTGGCACCGTTTAAACTGATCTGCCGCGTGTCTTCCTCATCCTGAATCATCTCTCCTCGTCCAATAAACGGGACGAAGAAGAAATGTTGACTTGATTCTCTGTCGAAGGAAATGCACTCTTTAGGTGAAAGAAAAAGATGGAGACGCAAAGTTTCGCATGGTTGCCTGCAGGTAAAAAAAAAAAGAAGCTTTTTCCTATGATTGTAAAAGCCACTTCGACCGAATCCCCATAGAATCCTTTGTTGACCTTCCACGAGCAATGAAACAATTTCCTTTTATTTATGCAATAAGTTTACTTGGGATAATTTATTCTGACCGCAGTACTGACTCAATTGCATGCTACCACAGGTGGTGATATTACTTCCACACGAGACACTGATCCACTACATCGTTCTTGAACAATGAACAATTTTCCGGTTCATTCGTTGGAATGATTCGGTGCTTACCTCCAGACCGGGCAATATAATTTGAATATCTTATGTTTGAGCAAATGTGGTTTTCAAACTATATTTCTCGACAGAAATCTGACAGGTTCATGATTGAGAGTCAGACCAGATGTGAATTATTTGTGCCATGCAATCCTGTAAAGAAACTAGACCAATGTCAAGTCAGGTCTATTTCTCTTCTCACCCGTCACGAACATCACAGCCTGATAAACGCATCTGAAGAAATCATAGCCATGGATAGGATCATTTGCATTTGCGAACAACGACGAGGGCTATGGTGATGGAGCAAATGATGACGATCAAAGCTCCACTTCCGGCGACGACGAAGATCCACCAACTGACTGCAAATAATCCCCCAGTGATGCACAGTTCAGAGGACTCATCCATGAGGATGGAACTAAAGTTCCCGGGGCAGTTGACGAACCCGTTGCAAACCAGTTCGCTGGGGATGCAGCCTTGACTCCCGGGGCAGACGAAGGAGCAGGAGTCGTCCTGAACCAATTTCTGCGTCTCGGCCATGTTATGAGGGTACAACTCCGTCCAAAACAACTTGAAGCTGGGACTGGAGCCGAGGGGTGCACTGAAAATGACTCGTATGTACCCCGACTTGAGCCTCTCCGACGGAATTATCGGCACTTCTATATTAGTTAGATTCTGACAAAAGATCATCCAAGGATTCCAGTCTTCAAGGTAGATGAAGATGGCCTCCACCATGCAGTCTTGAGTCGTGAGCTTGATTTCTTTAAAATACAGCCATAGATTCCGACCTCGAGTGACCTGGATCTCCCACACGCAAAGGACTTCTTTCTTATGCCAGTCGAAAGGCTGCCCTTCGACCTGAGGATATTCGAGACGACCTTCGGGTCTAGATAGGTAATTCGTGGGGCCACATTCCGGTCCGTGGATGAAGCTGAAGTTCCCTTTGAACACAGGAGTGGATCTTTTGAAGTAGTTCACTAAAGCATTTCGGTGGTCGACTTGGAAGTTGATGAAGACCTTGTGGCCGACACTGAAGAAGACCAACGGTTTTTCTAGGTTCTCACAGAGGCAGATTCTCTGGGATTTCATAGTCGAGGAAGGATCCCAAAGGATCAGTTTATCCCTTCTATCTGTTTCGCAGTCGAAACAGGGCGTTTCGCTGCGACCAAATGATACCATGTCCAAGACGATCTTGACTCGTTTGTGTCTTCTCCCATCCGCTACAAATTTATACGTACAGCCAAAGTCTTCTCCCCGTTTATAGACTAAGGTATTCGGAGGAGATGCGAATTCCCCCGTTGGCCGACCATTGTCCGCAAACACCTCATCGCACAAGGTATGTGGGACAGGTTCGCCGTAATGGAGATCCTGAAAGAAGTCAAAATGAGCCCACAATTCTATGGATGGGGACTCGTAACTTCCAATCAAACTTTCAAATTGGACAAGTAGTGCGTTGCCCGAAGACACGAAGTCGTGATTTTCCAAGGGTTTCGAGTAGGTGTCGCAGAACATCTTGAGAATCTTGGATGGCTCTGGTTCAGTAGAGTCGAAGATGGTAAGGAATTCCACACAGTCTTCCCCCGTCTTCATAATGGGAGCAGAGGGAGTTTTGATTCGTAGATTGGGGAAATATAGCCTCACGATCTCGTTCGGTCGGCCTTTGATCAAATAAGAACATTTCGTGTCAGGCGGATACCAATGGGACAACCCAAAGAAGAATCCCTCGCTTTCCTTGGCCTTCTCTACGTCTTGGCTCGAGAAGACCCAATTGCAGGAAGGAGGATCCAGGTTCTTTCCAGGCATTTCCAAGCTCCCGTGTCTCACACTGTCCACGGTGAAATGGAAGCCCGTATTCAGAAGAGGCCCGGCGTAGGAAGAAACAAATTCGACCAACAGGTGACTGCTGGAACCGACAATATCGTGGGGGAACCTGCCCATGCCACAGAAAGTGCCGATCATTCGAGCATTCTCCGTCCTCCCGTCGTAGATCCTCAGGTAATCGAAGGGACAATCCGTGGAGATGGGTCGGGTGGGGCACATGATGATGTCCTCGCATCGTTGCCCGTCTATGTTTATGTATTCGCCTTGAAGACGAAGGCGGGCGAACGGAGTTACCGACGTGATGTGATACCGACACCGCAGGTTCCTCAGGTAGACCTCAGGATAACCAGGGGACTGGACGTAGCAAGTCTCGTCACGGCAGTTCGCGAACACTTTCTCGCAGTAGGTCTCGTCCACAGGCTGGCCCCGTCGTTGAGGGTAGAACTCGGGTCTTGGGCCGAACCTAAAAAAAAAGCCAATGATAAGAGATCAGAATTCAATTCGGCATGAAATTTGAATCGATGCCGTGAACTAAACTATTGGCTGATGTGAATGGTGCGGGAAGAGTGAAAAATCAAGGGCTTGGCATCCCCTTCCATTACTCACTTCTCATTTTGCACTCCTCGTAATGACCACGTCTCGAGCTGGACGTGAAACTTATGGCATTTTCTTCACCATCTTCTTCCATATTCGATACTTTCTATATTTTCTATTCTCATCTGAATTTGTAAATGGTGGGATGCACAAATGAAATTTCTAACTTGTTACGGTATTTTGCCTCGAGCGCATTCCGTTTTTATGTGATGCGTTGACCGTCTTTGTCAGACGTACCGGTATGGTAGAGTTTGTTATCGAACCAAAAACAATACTCTTGATCCGAATCCCAAATCTCGAATAGGAGGAAGAGGTTGCGTAGAACATCGTTTCATGAAAAGAAGTCGTCTCTGGGGAACACCATGTTTCCGTCAGCAGACCCAGCTGGTCATTCATTTTTCCCAACCACAAAACTTCGAAATCCTGCAAACTCCGGACTATACTGCTTACAACATCCTAAAACCGACCTTATTAGAAAAGTACCGTATCATGGCACCGATGGTAATACTGAATTCCCTCATTCGAGAGGTGTGGAGAGGGGGATTTGGTCTAGAGTAACATGAAGGGGACACATGCATACATGTTCAAATATGATCCATGTACCTAGGATTGGTGTATGTACTGTAAAGAGAGCACGGGCCTATTTGAACCAATATATAGCTAATTGTCCCTTAATGAGGCTAATTGCTAACTTTCTAAGTTGATGTCCTGTTTTGACATCCGTGTTAGTTGACCGCTGCCGGAATCAAGATTAAACTGTCACAGCAAGTAGCTCATGGAATTACCCCTTTCCAAACTCCTTTCTTTGACACGTACAAGGACTATAAACCCTACCCAGGAATTAATGAGAATGGCTTTGTCCTCAAGTGCCTACCAAATGAATGCTTTTTCTGAAACCTAGATGGCCAATGAGGAGGGTGGTCAGTTTAGGAAACTCCGTCTCTGAAATCCACAACGGAGGAAGGATTGAAAGTGAGAAGTAAGTTCCGAGCTGATGGGGGACTCGGTCCTACCTCTTGATCGTGGTTCCCTCCCTCAAAATTTTATTATTTTATTTTCTCTTTCTTCTCCTCCCCAATTGAAGATTTGAAGCGTTCCTCTGGTCCCATAGCCTTACCTAAAGTCCGATTCAGTGACGAGTGTCTGGGAGAAGGATACGTGAGTTTCTTTCGAGCCTGAGTTGTAACTCTTGATTGGATAAGGGATTAAGCCTGGGGTAAATCTTTAAATCAGTAAGGACTCAAAATCATATCTTTGTTTTGTATCAGAGACGAACCAGTTCTTCTTCTGTTCATTAAGGTTCCTATTACATTTTGTTCCTTATGTTTTGAAACTGTCCTCCAAGGGTCAATATCACATTCTTTTTGTGTTCTCTTTTGTTCATTGAAATTAATTAAATTCTTATAGTAAATCTATTATTTAGACTCGGTGTGGTGATACTCCATTCTCGAACTTGAACAGGCACGAATCTCGCTCACCTGGAGAAATTCGTGGGGTTTTGTCCGGTGCGGGACGTTAGAGAGCTTAAAGGTAACTTTTCTAAAGAAAGTTGAATTGCCTGAAATCACATAAGAAATTAGAGTAAATCTGTTGTATCTATTTTGATTGATACAATCTGACCTATTGCGTCCCGTGCACGTGATACTGTTACCTTTTGAAAACTTAAGACCCTCATTTAAGAACTTAAGAATGCTCATGCGTCAGTCGGTTCTCACCTCTTGTGGAAATTCTTCTGATGCTCCGGTTTCCATTCGAGAAGGAAATAGGAGTTGTGATCGAAGCTATCAACGTGAAAGAGCATGGTGACGTGATTGTTCTCAGATATGAACACTTTGTTGTGCTCGATCTCCCCACAGAAATCTCCGGCTTCATCCGGACGAGAAAAATCTGGTCCATCCGTTCCCAAACCTCGATCAATCAGCTGGAGAACAATCAAAACAAATAAATGTGACAGCAGATGAAATTAAGTTACTTTTGAATCAGTACGTCGAATCAGAGCGCTTGGAACAAACCCGAACGTATCCACCAGCGCAATAGGTTCCATTCTCGAGTGCTCCGACCTTGAACTTCTTGAATCTGATGTAGATGACCTGCTTGGGGTCAAAGGGGATGAATCGGTACCAACAGGTCACCGGTCGGTCCTTATTCCGAGGGTTTGCCTCCGGGCTTGACACCTCCATATTGTTTATGTCCAGCGTCTTATTGCAGTGGTCTCTCGTGTAGTGCCCTGGTTACCAGAAGGTAGCTAAGTAACAGTCTCAGTTAAACATCAGCTCAGGCTAATGGAAATAGTCCTAGCTGTCGTTCTGATACACGATGATGACATCCAGAAACAAAAAATGAGGACAACGGGTTTCAAGGGAAACTGAACTCGGAGGGCGAATGTCTCATTTCTAATCAAACCAAAGTACTCAGCATGATCCATAAAATGCAATGTTCAAAGCGGGAAACGAGTAAATAAGATCCCTTTCCGATGAAAATCTACCAGCTTCTTTCTCCTTTTCGAGTTGGATAATCCTTTCATTTCCCCTTTTTAGCTCGTCATCCCTGTCTGAGGATACAGGGTATGTTAAATTGTCGCCTGAAGCGAAATAAAAATGACTTTCAATGATATGCTGTTCACCAGTTCGTTATGCGGAAGACAACGCATCTGGGAAAAGAAGGGAATGTACCTGTTCGAGAAGGCAGAGGGTACGGGGAAGTTTAACGAAAATGAATAATAGTTGAAAGAGGATATTGGAAACGCAGTATACCTCGTATAAAGGAAAAGTTATCTTATCGCCAGCTTGGGGGGGGGGGGGGACAAGTAGGCAAAGATGTCGTCCCTTTTCCACTAATACTATAATACTAATATATAATATAATAACACTAATAGTATAATAATGATTCTGATGATCAGAACTTGGTGGAAAACAGCTAACTGTAAAACTTTCTGGTCCTTCGATTTCTCTATTGTCGCAGTGTTTTAGGCGCTGACTGCAGATCAGTGGCCTCAATGACCATCAAGGCAGTCGTCAACTGTCACTGAACCAAATTTTATTTGCTTGGCTTACTCAAAGATAATTGTGCGTAAGTTAAGTCAATGGGTCACTTTGAGTAGTTTCGGGTCACTGGGTTAGGTTGACCAGATCGTGATTAATATATTTTTGGAGTTTCATTTTCTCATCAGAGAGGCGGGTAGGTTTCAAGCAGTTTAGGCCGGAAGTAATCCACACACTTGACTCCTTTCGTTACTGGCTTACCCTGCGATACCCTGAATACTGTAGTCTGGCAGCATATTAATATTGTGCACGGGGATAAAGAGACAGACCTTTTTTGGCGGAAGCATGAAGAAAGAGGAAGACCGTCAAGGACAGGAAGCTCTTGAGGAAAGTAGACATCATTCCGATTCACGGGGAGTAGTAGGGAGGAGCCATGTTGGACGGAGGCTGGGGGTGATTTTTTTTTCCTTTTGGGCTCGGATCCAGGCCCTGTGCTTCGTGCGCAAGCGAGGCAGACCATATTCTCCCCCATCGATTTCCTTCGAGGGAGAGAGAGAGAGAGAGAGAGTTGCCCAGGTCTCTTCTCTGTGCACTCATAAGAAGGTAATCGAATGGAAGGGAAAGTACGGCTTTTTCCCCCTGTTTCATTCTCAAGGGCTTCCCTTTCGAGGATTCAACTGCCTCTGTAATAAAACTGCATAAAGATCTCTGGATAATCCAGTAATGATACGAAAAACATTAATACGACTTGAAGAGTAATTATGCATTATCATTTTTTTATCCTGAGTATTGAAAGACGCAGCAGGCAGTGTTCCCCGCTAATAAATATCCTGAAAATAATATAATGTTTTTATAAGGTTCTTCTGCACCTTTACACAATTATATTTCACTTTGGGGGGACAATGTACTCTGGGTAAAATGGTCGTGGATGTGCTGGGAATGTGCATTTCCCTTATTTCACAAATACGATAGTCTTCTAAAAAAGAAAAAAGGCCTAACATGTGCACGATGTCATTTCCACTCAAACTGTTTGCCGGAGGTGGCAGGATACAAAATTTCCCTCTATTCGAATCCAAGAATAAAGATGATGATAGCAAGAATGAGGACAAGTATGAACGAGGGTGATGAAGAGAAACTGTTTTGATGAAGAGATATTGTTTTTTTTTAAAATTGATTTAAGGTATTCACATATGCGCATCTCACAATAGGTATTGGCAGAGGGGAGGGGAGCACCCCTACTCCCGTGGGTTCGGTGCCTTTATGTCTCGTACGCATAAAGCGCCAAGTTAACCCTTTCGTGCATGGTGTCCACTGTAGTGGACGGCAAAATTGTTGGCGATAATTCTAAGTTTTCAGCTATGGTACTCATACCTCGAAACTTTTGGTGCGACGTCAGTTGAGTTCCCGTGTATTAGACAAGTCACAGAGGAAGATCGTCTTCTTGTAAGCTGATGATGCCGTCTCATGGAGGATTTTGCAATTTGGATAAAGGGCATATTTTTATTTTGCTTTAAAAATTCATGCACGAAAGGGTTAAAACGTTGCAATCTACGCAATTCCATTCTCCATTTCACTACCTACCAAGTCGAGTGACCATTCCTTTTGTTCCCAATCAAAATACAATTTTCGAGTTGGAGTTCCATTCGGCTTTTCGGTGTGCTGAAAGTACTCATCGCCCGTGACATTCCATCTAAAATGATTTTAACGAGGTATACTCCTTCTGAGCGTTTCCTTCCGGGCACATTATACACGGTGGTCCGCTTAAATTGGGAATTCAGGGAATTTGGGATGTCTCATTCCAGTACTCATCAATGAAGCACGGGTTCAACATGATTTTTTACCCCTAGATTCAACTGTTCATTAGCGACAATGATCACTCAAAATGACCGCCATCGGCCTCGATCACGGCTTCGATTCTCGATCGGAAGCGGTTGCAGGCGTTGATGAGGTGTTGCCGGTCGGTATTGGCGCACACGTCGACAATGGCGGCACGCAGAGAGTCAACGCTGTTGTGTGCGCGCTTGTTAGACTCTCGCTCGATTACGCCCCAGCAGTAGTAATCGAGCGGATTCAAATCCGGCGAGGACGGCGGCCAAAACTCCTTCGACCAGAACATGTCCAGGTGTTCGTCACACCAGTTCTGGACGATGCAGCTGTTGTGAGCCGGCGCGCCATCCTGCTGGAAGACATACGGCCGGTCGGCGGCCACCTGGGTGATCCACGGATGCACNATAGTCTGATGCCCAACGTTTAGCTGGGCGGCCAGATTTCGCATCGAAGTGCTCGGATCGGCGTCGACGAGCTCTTGCAGCTGCTTGATGAAGTCGGCATTGCGCTTTCGGAACTCGGATCGATCGTGCTTCTTGCGGAGAGACGTTGCCGATCCATCTTCTTCGTCTTCGGCAGCTTTGAAGTCGGCCGCGACTCGATAGACGGTCGATTTTGGGATCTTCGTGAACTCGATGATTTCATTCGGCGTGCGGCCCGCACGAAGGCAGGTGATGATGGTGGCACGGCGCTCTTGTTCCACCGACATTTTCAACTTAGGTTCTGCAAATGGACACAGCACAGAGTGCCGAAAATATACCTACAGTATGAAGGTTCGTGCTTTGATAATCAGGGAGCTGTGCAAGTTTAAAGTCAGTCCCAATTTAAGCGGACCACCCTGTACAGTCTTTGAACGTAAAATTTGTCCAGGCCTTGAGCAATGTGGATGTTCTCGTGAATAAAGAATGGTGCTATTCGTGCTTCACACACTTTCCGTCAGTAAATGAACACGATTCCAGCTCCTTTAGACAACTATAAAACGGTGTTCACTGGTTCTTTAAAATTCGATTTGGAGCGAATATTTTTTTACCTTCTTGTGACACTCACCGATGGTTTTGAATATCAGCCACATTTAGAAATGGTAGAGTGATCCACATGAGGTAATTCTTGCTAGTCTAGCATTTACTTGCATTAATCTCCCATATGCAAGGAATCAGTCAGTTTTGTTTTTCTTTTTTTTTTCCTGGCAAGGAGTGATGGTACTTATCTCTTGTTGGAATGCTATCGATCTCTTATGGGAGGGAAGGGAGCTCCCTAAGACACTTTCCTTTCTTCAGTCGCCTTAACATGAAAGGGAACTCTTGAATTGAAGATGAGGAACAACTCTCTTCATTTCTCTTCATTAAAACTCTCTTCAAAGCCTTTCCTTTTGAGGATAAAGCCCTTCCACAATGTTTCCACACCAGTGATGAGTACAATTGCCATTTAAATTGCAATAAAAAAGATTGAAGGATTTGCCAACCTCTGCTTTATTTCCTGTAAAGGTTTGAGATTCTGACCATAAAATTTGCATTGAGATTTTCCCACCCTATTCTGCACAATAGTATTTCAGTAGATGGATAGTCTTTTCATTATAGACTCGCGATAATCAGGTTCGAATGATAATCCTCCGTTTCTGAGACATAAGCTAAAGCGCTCTTTTTCTCAGGGTTACCGAGGCTTTCGTCGCGGACAGTTCGTCGCGGACGAAACGTCGCATGCACTTTCGGTCGTTGCACTATTTCGTCGCTGGCAAGATAGTCGCACGGGGGAAAGCAAGGTGAACAAAAAAGGTAGAAAAGAATAGAACCCCTGTGCTCTTCATAGGAATCAGCTGGGAAAGGGAAGGAAAGGCAAAGATATCTAAAGGTCAAGAAAAGCTTGACTATGAAGAGTATTTTTATACTGCAGAGAGGCGAAATTTCGATAAGACAGCATGGCGATGTGAGTTCCGAAGCTGTAAGGGTAGGATGCACATAAGAAATGAAGTAGTGGCCAAGTTCGACCAAAATCATGAACCCAGTTCTGATGGTGTCCAGGTGACAAATGCAGTTGGGGAGCTGAAAGCCACCGCTCATAAATCTCAGGAACCCACGCGTAGACTTGTGCGAACTGCATTTACTTCCAGTCTTTGTAATGCCCTCGTGACGTGGAGAGTGTGACGATCGCACGTTTTCTCATTAAGAGTCCATGGGTTTACAAAGAACCCTTAACTAACGGAGTTTTCAACTTTGGGGTCAAAACCTTTTATTCGTACCGAATATTTCAAAAAATTCAAATGTTGAGGAGCATCTTTTCCATGACTTTCGCTATTTTCTGTTTTAAAATCCGTTCTGCGGAGTCAAGTCACAGAGCCGAGCTCCAGGATGAATTAAGGTTTTTAAATCGAGAAGAATGAGCAGAAAGAAGACGATGGCACTGGAAATTAATATTCAGAAAGTATCAGGCCAGTTCAGCCGTTGGGGAATCGAAGCTTCATGTCTTCTTCCTTGTATCCCCATAGAGCCCGAGGCCCAAACAGGGGCCACTTCTGGAACTTATCCGACCTCAAGTACTCTTTGACGTTCCGCAGGTTTTCGAATCGGTCCATGAAATCTCGAACGGCAGGGAAGTCCTTGAAACATTCCGGGTCAAGATACAGCTGTCTGTCCAGGATTTCGTACCACAGGAAATCCACATACGTCAGCTAGAAGGATGCACAGAATTGTCTGAATGTATCGATTTAAAATCCGCTACTCCAGTAGTTATTCTTTAATTGTTTAATAATAGGAAGTAAGGATTTGAAAAATTAAAATGTCAAAAAAAAAGAAAATGCATCACAAAATTAGGATAAAAATTATCTTCATGACACACTCGATCGCCGACGAGCCAGCTGCGATCGCCGATGAATTTCGTGAAGAGATCCAAATGTGTCGGAAGCGTTTCCTTCAGATAATTGGATTTTGCTTCCAGCGTCTAAAAAGAAACATTCGTCTGTACTTTTAATGATGAATTGAAGATGAATCATGGTGAGGATGGTGATGAAGTGTACAGACGAAAGCAGTATAGACAACGTGCCCCATGTCCATCATGAAATCACCATGTTGTTGTTCGACCATGTCTTGTCGACATAATTCTTTATCTGTCTTTCCGTAGAGGCCATGCTTCCTTCCCAAATAACGGAGAATGGCCAACGACTGCGACATCTTCAGCTCCCCGTCTACGAAGTACGGCAACTGGGGAGATGAAAAAAATCATTCAGGAACATTGAATCTGAAAAGTATTCATTCGAATAGTATTTAGATTTCACCTAATTTTAGAATTTCTTCCGATGTCGTAGTCCAGGCGTCATGAACAACTTTTGGACAAAAAGCGCCCAATTGTAAAAGGCTCTCTTTTTTTTATTTTCAACATTTAAATCGAGAAATTCGTGTCCGAAAATAAAAAATTCGCTAACGCAGCAAATCCTGCACAGTGAATGTCTCGTGAACGGTAGGGCTTTTCTGTTTCAGGTTACTTCATTTTCCCAGAAACAATGAAGTGCTGTGGGGAATACTTGGGTTGCTCACATTGGGAAAATGCAGGCCGAGTCCGTCCTTCTTGTCTCTGGCCCAGGCCTGCCTTCCGGGCCCATTAGGGGGTTCCAATTGGTAGATTTTATCCTCCCACTCCACTCCCGCGAAGGCAAGAAGAGTCCGGATGTGTTGGGCTTTCTGTCATAAAATACGTAATATGCTTCACATAGCCCAAGAATCTCTTATCAAGTGAGAAGCGAGAAGACTTGAATTTATTATTGTCATGCAGTACACGATACTGAATTATGACGCTTGCATAAGAAGACTTTAATTTTTTTTGCGACGGATTTTCCGTATAATACTCGTATATCTACTAGATAAATTTTTACCTGGGCGGTGGGGGATCATTGCAGAATCAAACGTCTTATAATGCTTACTTACTAGAGGAGAGTAATTAGAAGACGTGCACGAAGTGAAAACTGAATTTAAAAAAAATGATAAGATGTAAATCACAAAACTTCTCGAAAATTCTTCGGATTGAGTACACAATCAATCTGGCAGGATTTGTTTCCCATGGTTAAATGTCGATGACTTCATGCTGCTGGGCCAAAGCCGAAAAGCCAATAATGTGAATATGAGCCTGGAGTTATGGGGGGCTGGGAGTTATGAGCGGCAGCTCATAAGAAATAAAATGGCCATTTTGAAGGATTCACCGCTCACTACTGTGTGTGGTAATTCTCTCCCTGAGCGCGTTCACGCGCATGTATACACCTCTCTTGGGATCGGATGATCTGAGCACATGCCACGTGGCTCCTGGGCGAGGAGCTTATTCCCTGCTTCCTCCCTTACGAACAGAGATCCCTGATTGACAGGAAATTTCCTCTATTACTTTAATCTCCCAACCTCAGAAATAGTGGCGAGCGATATGTCGTCGCCAAATTCATGCATGGTAAAGGAAAACCACAAACGTCATGTGTCTTGTGGATGGGATCGGAGAACATGTTGGCTATGATGAATCGGTTCTCCCAATCCCAATTAGAATATTTAAACCATGATTTGCTCCTGTTTAAAATCAGAAAGGAACTCACTCCACGACAATTCCAATATCCCAAAATCCGGGCCATCGTGCACCCTATACGACGTTTAGAGAGTGAGAGACTGAGGATGAAGTCAATGTCTCATCCGCGCACGCTCCATGCAGACGCGAAGACGGAGTCGACGCCAGCAAAGGGCTTCTGTGTTCCCTTAGCTACAAGATGCAAGGGTCTCGAAATAGATTCAGTAACTTGGGAGACGGGCGGTCGTTTCACGTTGCCTCTCTCGTTGTCTCACTCCTCCTCCAATAGTCGTTGGTTTTCTTTGTTTGCTCTTCCTTTCTTTCTCCCTTCTTAGGCTTGAGTATATTATATTCTATAATTCGAGTATTTTACTCGCCCCAGCGTCACCCAGACACAGAGACTCGTGCAGAACTCTGAGGTTAGGGAACGTGACACAGTTTTGGGGCCTAAAGCTAGGAAATGAGGTTGTGGAACCAACTCATTTGAAATTTCTGTTGTTTTTATTTTTCTCTTCGGCTAGCTCTAGGGACGCTGTGAAGCAAATTCCAAGCAGAAGTATGTATTGGCCGTTATTTCAAGTGATCTTTAAAATCTTTCTGCCCCAAAATTCGGCACGAGTAAGGATCGTTGTTTCATGTCTACTTCAGGATGTCACCAGATGGATGTAACTGATTTGAAGTGCTGAAATATTAAGCTTTAGACTTTGACACCCTATGAGACCTGAACCTTTCCTCATGTATAACTGGTCATGCTGTTTATGCTCTCACCTTTTTAAAAAGACGTCTCTCCCCAATGTCGTTAACGAGGATTTGCTCCCAAGTAGTTGGCAGAGAAATTTCCTATCTCGCGACTCCCTGCTCAACTTCCCACGCCTTGCATCGGACTCCCATGAGAGCGAATTAAATGATTGCGCATTTTGAGAAATTATGAAACAATTATGACTTCATGAATTCCTCTACAGAGATGCTCATGTTTCCGGCTCGAGAAGATGAACTTATTTCATAGGGCTGAAGCCAGTGAAGCCCATGAGCCAGTGATAAGTTTCCGTGGAAGTGTTCCTAATGAAGACTCGGACGACCCTTGAAATCGCATAAGGCAAACAAAAAATTTAAGTTTCTTGCTCTAAAAATCAGCTTACGGTGACCTAGACCCTAATTTAGTGATTTTAAGTTAATTTTCGATAGTTTTGATGTATGCTTCAGATAGATGTTATCGTGTGCGTGATTAGCTTACACTGGCGTCTGCCATAAAAAAGCAAGTGGTGGGACCTTGGCGGAACGCGAGTGTAACGGACACGGGGCGTAGTGGTTCGGATTGATGGAAAGGTGAAATAAAGTTGAAGTTAAATCAAAACCTTGACCTCGATAACAACCTCAACACACCTCGATTCCACTACAGTTTGTCACTCTTCAGGAAACCAAGCTCTGTCAATTCAAAGTCGAGAGGGAATGATCAATACAGCTTCCACAAAGTAAGAAAATTTGTATATTACTTGAAACTAGGGCTGTCACGATAGCAGTTTTCAAAACATCGATGCATCGACCGAAACTATCAATAGTGTATCGATGCTTCCAGGGGCGCCGGAGGATTCCATCTTTTCTCGCCGCGATCGGAGCGCGGACCTCTATCTGGCTTCCATACTCTCAAGCTTATGATCGGGGGTGCAAGGGAAATATGTGACCTTCGCAAAGAGTAATGAAACCTACCATGCCTCCAACTATCGAAGATGACATCCGTTCATCGACTAAACCCCGTTCACGTAATTTTTTTTCTCTTTTTGTTCGTTCTTTACTGTCTTTGGACATTGGCACCGGCAGATAGGAAACCTGCTGATGGTGCCATACCGGCGGTTGCCGAAGCATCGGTACAGCCCTAGAATAAGCAATGTCCATGTAAAATATTCACTTTGAGTTCACCTTAAGTAGAGATAAAACGCTCCAAGGCAAGTTAAAAATTAAGAAAGTTAAGCCTGCATACTAAAGTGATAGACAGGAGTATAGAGGGGATTAACCAATATGCGTTTCGGAATCAAGGGAATATAAGAACAGTCCACTTCCGTAGCATGCACCTGATGAGATCAAGCCGAAGACAGAAACAGAAGATAAAAATATATTCTCAGTCTTCCCCCTCTCCTTTCCCACTTCCTGTCTCTGATCTGACTTTTCTTTCCCTTCCCGTCTTTCATATAGTCAGTCCCAGCATTTTCAGAATTGATAGTGATAAGAAATTGCTCGCCCATGCGGGTCACGCCGCTTCTTCTTTCCCCGCCCGGACGGACTGTATTGTACTGTACTCGCCTCAATCCAATGGGACATTTCCCTTTTAAAGTATTTTGCCGATGCATCGTGATGGTCGAAAAAACTATCGATATCTCCAACTATCGATAGTGGTATCGATGCATCGATCTATCGTGACAGCCCTACTTGAAACTACTTGAGAAAAAGGAAACCAAGCAACAACTAATGATAATAAAATACTGAAATTAACTGAAAACCGTGACAAAGAAGCTCTTCACGTGTTACTTTGAAATATATATACAGTATAACCTGATTTATAATTTAGATGAAACAACCGGTCCGACTCCCCATAAACCCTAACAGGAATTAAGGCCGTGTATCTACCTTCAGGCAAACGCACCTAGTTCAGAATATGGAATCCAAAATCCTCAACCCCCCTCTTAGCACCATGGGCACCAGTTCAAACTGACTCAAATTGTGTAGATGAAAAGACGAGGTAGTCAAGTTTGGAGACTCACAATCCAAGAGAGCGCCCGAGTAACCCGCTCAAATCGGTACTGATTTGCGTTCAGCACTACTGGTCTCTCGTCAACTTCAAGGGGAGGAATCTTGAATTGGAAGCTTGGTGGATTGGAGAATGAATTTAATGGACGAGCCTTCATTGGGGAGACTTTGTAACTCACTCTGCATAATGAAGTTATGGCTCCTTGGATTTTGTTTGGGGAACATCCGCTGAGCATGAGTTGAAGATCTGGAGATCCTGCATTCCTGAAGTGATGTGCCTCTCCCACGATATGACCGACCTCATAACATTGGGTCCACATCCACATCACGTGTACGAGTTTCGTGATCCCTTTCTCTTCAACTCCGATCCCACGCCTCGGCCCTCCACCGATGTACGTGCCGTCGTAGCAAGAAATATCCATGTACATACACGTCTATGATGAGTCCAGGACGAGTTGGTGGCACATATTTCATGAGTAGTATATTCCATACTGTGTCTCACATTCGTTGGGTAGATGGCAGCGCAAGCTCGGACCTGAGGCTTCATCCACTTCTGAACCATTCGTGTTAATAGATGCCGGGAAATTGTTTCTCTCTGAGAATTAAAGGGTTGAAGAACGCGAAAGGGTAGACCTTTCAGGTGACACGTTAAGTAAAAGGTAATACAACAAATCATGAGGAAAGGCGATTTTCTTCTTGTTCGAACCCTCGGATCGCGTGAGACATGCAGAGCAAAGGAAGACTGCACTGCATGAAACATTTTAAAATGCGCCTTAAAAAGCTATGATAAGATTATCTTCACGAAATGCGTTGCAATATGCTCGTTGATTCATCACGGTTCACGTTGACAACACCTTTTCGCGCCCATGTGAAGATTTTGCAAAGTTTATTCCTTTGTAACTCGTAAGTTAGCTTTCAGTCATCCATAGTTGTATATGAACAATACAGAGCGTATACCGACTCTTACGAGAGATAGCAGGGCAATTTCATACCTTGAAACGTGGCAGCAGTTATAATAGTTCTTCAAGTAAACAAAATTGATCATTGGACATTCGAAGTTCTGCCATTCTGGATGCGTGAATTGGACTTGAAGAAAGTCCTGATTTGTTCGTGCGAACAGTTTTAATTCTACATTGTCACTTTTTCTGTATCTGCGAATAAATGAAGGCCTGAAATGAGCTTTTGCAAAAGATGTACGCACAGATATCTGCAGCAAGTACTTGTTGTACGTAGGTTCATTTGCTGCAAAAGCTCGAGAGTCTCGGCGAACGATTTTCAGAGCTTCATCTTTGCCCTTTGCTCCAGCGCTGGCATTCCAGTAGAATCCGCCGAAAGTTATTGACCATGGCAATTTCTTTTTATCGCCAACAGAGTTCCTTAAACGAAAGACCAATTACATTTTTACCATGAGTCGCAAAGTGAACTTAGTCGACGCCTGCAGAGTGGCCAACAATTTCGACTAGTGTTATTTGAGCTGCAGCGAAAGTTTCGTTCATTTTTGATCAGTCTAGTATTATTGAACAGTAAAAAATAAGCTTTTTTTCATTATACCTTTGATCATATTCGACAGCAGACACGGTTCCATGATAATTGACAGCTTGAGCATGTTCCGCCGTTTTGACAAGACGTTTCTCAACTCTCTGAACTCTTGATACTACTGAGATCTTGGGAGCTACCATGTTTAGACCTAGTGGTATTCTCGATTTTTGAGGACTGTGATAAAGAGATATGTTCATTTGCTTCCATTTGCAGGAAGACAGGTCCTCTATTCTGCGGAAGAAGGGCACAAGTTCACTTGAGCCCCTTAGTGTATAATACAGATGAAGATGATAATCACCCCAGTTTTGGAGATGTCCTTTTCATAGAGAGGAAAGATTTGAGGGCATAAGTAAAATCTTTTCTGCTTTGGAAGCTCATAAAAAAGGAACAGAAACATCTCTACGACTTCTTAACAAGAAATCGAC